TCTCTCTCTCTCTCTCTCTCTCTCTCTCTCTCTCTCTCTCTGTTTTTAGTTTAGGGCATGGCCTACAGGGTCTACAGTGTCTCACGATGTAGATCAGACTTGTAGTGATCCTCCTATTTTCAGCTTCCCAATCTCAGGGATTACAGACATGCGCCACCATGCCCAGTTTCAATTGCCGTCTCAGCATGCAGGGCTGGCATGGCAGGCCTCAAACCCCAGCCGCTGTGCTCTGCTTAAGCAAGCGCTTTAGTCTGCTGAGCTATCAGGTCGGCCCCCCAGCCCTTTGCTTAATGTTTTATTTTGCCACAGGGTCTTATTAAGTGCCTGAATTATCAGAACAGGACTAAAACATGTGACCCTCCTGCCTCAGCCTCCTCAGAGTGCTGACACCACAGGAATGGACCACCAAGCCTCACTGATTCCTTTCCTTATACTTCCTAAACCCTTTGAAAGGGGGATAAAGGTGGTAATACAGTAATCATTTTTTTTAATTATGAAAATGTTTATTTAAACAACTTTAAGAAAAAATGAGTACGTATAAGAAAATAAAGACAACTCAGGTTTTCTTCCATCATTCCAACACTAGCAATAAACATTTTACTGTTTTTGGTTTGTACCCTTATGGATGCATGGGTACAAATGTTTTGTTTTTATGTAGTTGGTATTGTACCTGTGGGTTTATAACCTGTTTTCTGTCTTTTTAATGATATACTGAAAACATCTTTTCATTAAAGATTTTTCTACAGCACTATTTCATCATTGTCATAGAAATTTTAATTCTTTACAGGAATATAAAAGAAAGTGAGAGCTGGAGAGATGGCTCAGTAGAATAAGTGCTTGCCTGGCAAGGGCAAGGTCGTGCGTTCAATCCCTGGTACCACAAAACAAACAAAAAAGAAAAAAAAAAAAAGAATGTTAATTCCCTGTACTGGGACATTTTAAGGTTGTTTTCAGATGCTCTGTATTATGACCAGTGGTGCTATGAATAGGGTTGTAGCTAGTCTTTGCAAGGATTTGTGCTTGCTTATTTCCTGAGCACAAACTCACAGAAATAAAATCAGTGGGTTAAATTTATGCATAATTGACAAGCTGCTCCCTGGGCGAGATGGGTCAATACTAGTGCCACCAGCAGTGCTTCGGGGCATGTTTCCTAGCACGTTTGACAGTGCAACATAGTAGAATATGATAAAATCCTTTCTATCTGTTAGGTTAAAAAATGATGGTCCTGCCCTAGTGTGTATGAGACCGCAGACTCCATCCCTAGCACCGAGACAAAAACTATCAATATATCTATCTGTATTTATAAATATATATACAGAATCTGCCAAGAAATATATACTTCAGGAAAGAAAAACTTGTATAAGTGTATTAACATTAACTTTACTGAGACGTGATGAGATGAACACGGGTTACCCTGGGCCTCTACAATTCCAAGACGTGCTTGAGTGGTGGCCGTCGGCTTCCAGGCATGTGTTAGCATGGTAGGCTGCTGCTTGGCTGGCCTGGGTCACGGGGGTTGCTGCCTGGCTGGCCTGGGTCACGGGGGTTGCTGCCTGGCTGGCCTGGGTCACGGGGGTTGCTGCACATGCATTTCCAATTTCTTCTCCATGGGGAGGCAGTCTAGTTGGTTTTCTGAGATATATGACATCCTCTAGGGTCCCCCATATGAGCGTGACACCATCTATTGAACAAACATCATACTGTTTTTCTTTTCCTGAAGTCTGTATACATTTTTGGGGGCAGGTTTACAGTAATTATTTTTAATACTGAATCTGCTTCCATGTCTTACTTTAAGCTCTTCCAAAATGCTTCAACCACACCCTCAGCCCTTCTCCTTTTCAACTTAATCCTTCATCACAAAGCCCAAAATGATCACTGTCACAAGAGAAGAACCTTCTTAGAAGGTGTATGAGAGGAAAAGACAGAAAACTCAAGTGGAATTCTCTTGAACAAGGAAATCAGGAGATTTTCTATGTATGTGTCTATGTCCATGTGTGAGTGTGTGAGTGTGTGAGTGTGTGTGTGTGTGTGTGTGTGTGACATTCACAGGGTACAGATATTCCTCATTTAATGTCCTACCTATTTTAACAACTATTTGAGCTTGTGGCCAAGGCACACTGCTCTAATTCCAAACTGCTGCTCATACACGCGCCTATCTCCTTTTCTTTTTCTGCAGTTCTGTACATCTTGTTGATAGAGCTTCAATGTTTTTCCTTTGTACAGTACACCTTGTTTATAGAGTACCATAATGTTTGCTGATTGTGCAGTACAGTATAATAGAGTACCATAGTTTTGTCTTCTGTGACACATTACAGTGCTGCATGTACGAGTATGCAAATAAAAGCAAAGACATTAAATTGAAGTTTCCTTTGACCATTTCATCAAACTTGACACAGCCTAAAGTAGGATAGGTTTCTTTTGGTTTTAGAAGTCTCCATGCTGCTTCACTGGCTAACTCCAAGGCAGAAAACATCATAGCAAAAGGCATAGCAGAGAAAAGCTGCTTACACAATGACAGCCAGGGAAAAGAAGGAGGAGGGAGGCCTTAGGAAGAGAGATACTCACTTCCAAGTCATGCCCCAGTTTTCTGCCTGTTATGACCAGGCCCAGCCTCCTAATAGCAAGTCAGTTATATCACCCTCAGCATTCAATCACCTCTCAAATATATAAAGGACTTGATCCAACCATAAAATTTCACCATGACCCCCAAAAGACTCGTGTGCCCCTCTATGCCAAATGCATTTAGTCCATCTCTAAGACTCACCAAAGTTTGAACAATTCCAGCACTGCTGAAAAATGCCAAGTTCAACGTCAATCTGAGACTTGAAGCAAACTCAGCTGTGAACCTCTGTTAAAATCAAGGAGAAAATCAAATGTTTTCAACATACAGTGGCACAGGGTAAACATTCCCATTCCAAAAGGAGAAAATGGGGGATTGAAAAAAATCAGACTAATGCAAGACTGAAGCCCAGCAGGACAAACATTAAGTCCTGTAGTTCCATGTCCAGCATATGGGACAAAAATGTGAGTGCCATTGGGAAAGGGTTGGGAAGGCTTGCTTCCTACACTGCTTTCTCAAGCCACACTGCTTGGCCTCCTAAGTCTTCTTTTGAAATCTGTGTGAAAGTGTTCTTCACTTCTTCATAAGTCTTGCACTCTGCCCACTGGTAAAACCAGGATCATGTGGATAACACCAAGAACTGCTGCTGGTTTGGGCTAGGCATGGCTGTAGTAGTCTTTGAATGCCAAGACACCTGAGCACTGTGAAACAAATCCTAGCAAACAGTTTTATAATCAGGATGTTGTAGGACCCTCTTCTCAAAGCAAAGTCTTTCAGTTTGGATCTTTGGGTTTTTAAAGGTTGTGTCTTGCTGATTTTCAGGATTCTCTCAAGGCACCCTACCCATTGTTCTGATACAAAGTATCTAGCTTCTTTTTAATACTAATATTTTTACCAAACAAGATCTCCTTGGCCAAAACTTCACAGGCCCCAAATTTATAGGTACTTCTTTTCTGCCTGGGAAGTTCTCCATGCCTGAGCAATGCTCAGAATTGTCAGTTTATAAACAAATATATGCTCACGTGATGCTCAGGGTAAACTGTTAAGTGATTAACTTCAGTATCCTATAACATCTCCAGACATGAATAAAATGTAGATAAATTTTCTTCCAAAGCATAATACCCATGACCCAGAGTCCAACTGCCAACAGAGTCTTTCTTCCCAAGTGAAATCTTCTGAGCTTGATCTTTGTTCTCTTTCTATCAGTATTTTGGTCTTCTGAGCTATGACCAGAATCTTCCAGCAAACTCAGCTTAGAGCATTATAGGCCTTCTCTGGCTGGGATCTCCAAACTCCTGCTGCAAACCAGTTCCAAAGGCTTCTAAATCACATGATGAAGTACAGTCACAGTTACGACCCCACTCCTGATACCAGTTAGTCAATTTCCTTTTCACTAGAACAAATATCCAACATCCACAACTTAAAGTAGAAGAGGTTTGTTTTGGCTCCCAATCACAGAAGTCTGTCCTTGAGTGGTCATCTGGCTCCAAGGCAGAAGTCCTCATGGCAAAAAAACACAGTGGGGGAAAGAGGTTCATTGTAGTTGTCAGAAAACAAGACAGGAGGTAGGAAGGAGGTATACCCTTCCAGGTTATGCCCCAGTGACCCATCTCTTCTGACCACACCCTGCCTCCTAATTGCAAGTCAGCTATATTGTCCCCATGATTCATTTACCTTCTAAAACCTCTGCCTATGAGTGCAGAAGGCTTTGGGGGTATATTCTTAATCCAAATCATATTGGTAGAAAAAAATAAGAATAATTGCAAACATTGATGTTCTTTGAATACTAAAAACAGTCTTTTAATTACAGTCTTCTTCCTACAATGGATTTTTTAGATTTGATTTCTGAAACCATCTCTAAAAAGTTACAGATTCAAGAATCCATAAGTAGTAGGTAGGTTCTAGACAAGATATTAATGAGAATTTTCTTGTTCTCTGAACAAAACTGGATAGTTGAAGACAAGATGCCATTATAGTATAATGCCCTACCACCACATCCAGGAGCCTCAGGCTGGCTTCACCACTCCTCTAGAACTTAGCTTTCCACTTTTATAACCACGTCTCTGACAGTGAGAACCTCATCCTTCCATCAGAATGAATAATTATATAAGTAAGACAATGAACAAGAATACATTTGCAAGTCCAGATTTCCAATGTATGTACCAAAGTTTATCCGATATTTTATTAAGACATACCTGGTGTGGATTTTGTGGCTGACCAACCAAGGTCTTCACCCAAGCTCCACACTTATTTTCATATCCAAGAAAATGAACACAGTTCAGTGGACCTTTCATTCTGAAAGTGTGTATATTTTGACTGGGGCTAACCATGGAGAATTAGATTAGTGCACTTTGGAACAGCAGGACCCAGAGACAAAATAGGGCTGAAAATATAGCTCCCTACAGAATTCAGAACAACATGCAAGGGAGCCAAAACACCCTACACATAGCAATGTCATAAGGCCAGAAGAGCCCAGAATTCTACTTGCTATACAAAAATATCTAACGATGATCTCATGGTTTGATTTCCTCATAGAATCTTACGTGTTTACTTTCTCAGCCATTAAATGAGAATATAGGAACACAGTAAACAAAGAAGAAAGGATGAAAAGAAAAGCTAGTAAAAACAGGAACTACTAATATATAACATGTATTAATAGTTACATCTCTTCATTTTTCCTCCTTTTACAGACCCTGAAAGCAAAACTGCAAGACATTGCCAGACGCAGTTAGATCAGACGTAAAGTAATTTGGCTTTGTAATAAATGCAGAAAGATCTACAAATGATCGCATTTAGAGAAGATTAACTTTGAAGGTTTATTGCAGCCTCGGATAGTATGCTAAGCAATTAAATATTTTTGTGACAGCACTAAAAGTCAGAGTTCAATTATTTTGTGTCACCTATGTTCACTCCTGTGTTTCTTACATTATTTTCTCAGAAATAATGTCCATTACTATTTCAAATATTACATTTAAAAAGAGTTATCATTTCATCTTTTTATGAGGCCTGTTTCCTTCCACCAGACAGTCCTCACATTTTCCCATGTGTTCTAACCACCCTGGCTTCAACTAATAGGTTAATGGGAATAAGCTAGAGAAGACCACAGGTTTCGGCTGTGAGATTCAGGGCTGGTCAGCTTCCCCATCTTCAGAAGACCGGGTTGTATGCTGTGTTTCACATAAGCATCTTAGCAAAAAAAATGAACTTTTTCATCAATTTTGATTAATAGGCTTCTGCATCTTAAAGATGTAGAAGAAAGACAGACCCAGTAAACTTAATTTTAAAGAAAGCCACATCTTTACCATAAAATTGCATTCCTTAACTAAGAATTAATCTTTTATTAAAGCTCTATTAGTCAAACTCACATGCTCAGATATTTTCAAGTGTAATAGGACCCTACAAAAGTGCCAGTTATAAACTTTTTAAAATTCAGGAACCCCATTAAAAACTGAAGCTTTCTGTGCTTTCTCTATATTTTTAAATAACTCTTGAGGTACCAGTTATTTTCTGAAAATTTGTAAGAATTTGAAATACTTATTTGTTGCTTCTATATTTTCACAATAAAATGAGTGATTTCAACCCCTGACTTGTGTCTTAGTCACCCTCTCATCCCTGAGACACAATACCTGACTCCTGTAACTTAAAGGTGAAGAGGTCTATTTTGCTTACAGTTTGTAGAGGCTTCTGTCCATAGTTGCCTGGCTCCAGGGCACAAGCATGGCACAGGGACATTGCAGAGGACAGTTGTTCATGGCATGGCATCCAAGAAGGAAAGAGAAAGTCAAGAAGGAGGTAAACCCTTTGAAGCCTCACTCCAACTGACCCACCTCTTCTGGCCAGACCCCACCTCCAAAGAACAAGTCAGCTTTGAACCTCTGTCATCCAGTCACTTCCAAAACCCCCACCCAGCAGCACTTGGGCCCTTGGGAGACATCAGATATCAACCATAGCAGTAGGCTTTTGTGTATTTCCAAAGTCGATACTTGGTTGGATGTTATTGTGAAGAGAACATGTTTGTGTTAAGGACATTGGTTCATTCCCTAGTCTGACCACTTTTTCTGCCTCTCTGTAGGGTCCCTAACCAAAAGGGAGTGAACACAAAGAGCAATACATGGCTGGGTGCTCTAAGCACATGGCAGTTGCACTTGACCTTACTTGGATTCTGGTAAAATTGAGCTAGATTGGAAAATGTGATTCAGACCAAGAAGTCAAAGCAAAGATCCTGCTCAGTACCCCTTGAATCAGAAATGTGAGCCACTCAGTACCCAGAACAAGACAGGGAAGCTACCACAGAGAATATAGCTATCAAGACACTTTACCTTTTCATCATTTGGGGGGATATTAAGCTCAGGCCAATCAGATACCAATTTCTTAAAGCACCTGCTTAGGCAGGCACAGGGACTGAGGTTCAATCCCCAGAACCATATGCCATCCCAGCCTCAATCCTGGAGCACACTGAGAGGGTGACTGAGACTGGGCGTGGTGGAGTGTGCCTGTAATCCCAGTGCTTGGGAGACTTTAAAACAGAAAGATCGTTCCAACTCTGATCTGTGTAGTGAGGCTCTGTAGACCCTGTACTAAATGCATTAAAAAAAGGAGATATGAATTTCTTCTTCAGTTGATGGACACCTAGATAAGGGCTAAAAAGAAATACAGGCAGAGTTTTATGCTCTTTGGAACATGTTTAGCCCCATCCACATTAGCCTATACTTTCTAGGATGAAGATGAACTGTCATGTATTTGGCACCATATAGCACGTTCTGGAATAAACTCCCATAGGCACACAGAAAGCCTTGATATTCATCACTATACCCACCACCATATATTTTCTCAAATGAAGACATGAAATTTCACTGGAACAAAAATAATCATGTCTGTTATTAATTTAAAAAACAATTTTCAGGCTTATTGGCAGTGCCATTTCAAAAACAATTTTCAGA